ACCCTTGTATACCAATTTTCACTGTTATACATGAAATATTGTTCGAAATATTTAAAAAAAACTATTTTAGAAAGTAAATTTAAGCACCCTGTATTTCGGAAGCCACGCATTTTTCGACCCATGTTTATATAGACTTTATGCATTAATTTTAAAAGTTCTATCGAATCTTAAAGTTATGCAACAATAAATTGAAACACCCTGTATAAGTCCGTATGATAAATTATTTAGCTATTAAACCATAGCAAGAGGAACGTTACTATGTCACCATTTGCTGTATAGAATGATACTAATATTTTGCATAAAGCCCCAATGCGTTATTATTTATAACAGGGCTTATTTTTAAATGACCCATAACCGTATATAACTGAAAGTTGATTTGGCTGGGAAAAATTTGTGACGCTTATCGCCGCAGAATCTACGTTTAAAGTACATTTTGTATGATGAACCAATTTGAAACCGGAAGCTTTTTAATATGATATTTCATTCAGTTTCAATTTAATCTTTTTAACGTTTATGTTGGGTCACATAAAAGTAATGGTACTGGAATTTATTTTTATAGGTGCAGCTATTAGTGTTTGTTATGTCCTTTAGTAAGTATTTGTATATTTAGTTTTGGATTTGTGTGATGGACACTGTGTGCTTTCATACATAATAGTAACAATTTTAAAAAAAAATAAAGAAAAAGATAGTTTTAGAATAATTCGTAAAATAGTTAATGACCCTTTCTGTGAGAAGGAGATTAGAAGGGACTGACGAGAGATCTTGGGAAAACAACAATCGGGTACAGATAATGCCTGCCAAAATACACTGAAATACTTTGACTAACAAGAAGCACCGATTTCCAACCAGCCATTCATTTCGACTGGTCGGAGTGCAGATTATCCAGGAACTTGACTTCCGTCCCGACTACATTGTCCATACTTATTATTATGTTTCTCTAGCAAGGAGCCCCGGGACCACTTCGCATCCTCGGACGATCGGTGTTCTGGCTTTCTTCTACTGCTACGTCAACTAACTTTGCTCCTCAGGGCCATTCCCCGTGATATCGCTGCGCGTTGCGCCTGCCAGACGGACCCGACAGGCTTCTGCCTCCAATTCTAACTCACCCGGAACAAGCCGGAATGGGCACCCCGTTGTTCTTATGCTTCCGAGACTGTGGAACAATCTGCCTGATAAGGTTTTTCCCAGTTGCGCTAACCTCAGGCAGATCAACAATAGAGCAGGATGACAATCATGTCTTTAAGCTCATTATGGCGATCGCGGTGCCTTGGTATTTAGGTTTCTGGCTAAGCGGCTCATCAGTATATATAATAATAGTACTAATAATAATATTTTTTCACTCAATGCACATACAGAACAAACAACATGAGTAAAGAAGTATAGAATCAAAACAGGCCCAATAGAAGGCATTGCCTGTACATGGACCACAATAATTTTAAGTTGCGACTGTAGAATGTAAATGACAAAAGGACAAAAACTAGCCACAGTAGATAATGGATTTACTTGATGTTCGTATTTATGAGTTTATGAATTTCAGTCCTAGATATAGAATGTAACCACCTTTTTAAATGTCATATAAACAATTACCGAAAAGTAAATATTTTAAATCTTTACGTATAATTTAGAATGAAGACGTACGTTCCACCTTCTCTTTCTGCAGAAAGCTCAGGCAACGCTGGTTCTAGAGTATAATTCACATGACTTCCCTAACAGAAACCAAATCCTCTGCCTCTATGACGAGCAATTTCTCTGACGACTCGGTTCTATGGATAGTTCAACAGCCTCTTCTCCTCCAAGTTCTACTTCGCGATGTCACCACGTTTCAGATCTGCGAAATGAACCCGCTAAACTCTGAACATACAAAGCTCCTAAGTCCTAATACATCGCTACTGTGAGACAGATTACCGGAAGAGTGTGTTCCCAGATCCACTAAGCTTAGGCAACTCAAAAGTTAGAATACCAAAACATTTTCCATCTCTTTCTAACAATCCTAGTACTTAGGATATGCCTTGCCAGCTGCTACAGAACCAAAAAATTATTAAGAAGCACCCTGAATGTTATCTACCATTTTTATTAGTCTCCCCAAAGTCTGGCGTAGCTGCTTTGAATCTCGATATGTAATTTGCATATGAAATGAAAATCTAGTTCTTTTTTTATTGGACTGTTCTAAAATATCAATAAAATCTTCTGGTTTCACATAAATATCCAATTTTGCATGTTTTTTTAGATTTTAAAAACCCCACAGAATTGACTAGATTTTCAAGGCTAGATGTTAAAGCTCCCATTCATAGGAATCCCTAAGAATTTAAATAAAATTCGCATAGAATCAAGGTCACTTTACCGGTCTCGAAATCCGGAGGAAATTTTAAATCTAAAACTTATATAAGGTCCCACAAGGCTGTTGAAAAATCTAGTGCTTATCTACCTTCCAAAATGAAGATCTCGATCATCGCGAGTGTTTTGGCAGTGTTGGTAGCTGCTGATGCTGCAGTTCAACCGCTTTATCAAGCGAAAAGTGATGAGCAAGGTATACGTGATAGGAGATCTATTGGTAAGTACATTTACACTTTTCTGTCGTCAAAAGCGATTCCGCGGTTACTGGAATATCAAAGGATTTAAATATCTCAAGCGCAAGTGAAAACCGAAACAAGAATTGAATTGGACGGTTGTTTTTTTCAAGTACAATGAAAATTACTGACAACTTATTTTGTTTATATTTATTTTAGATGACAGTTCATTTTTTTGCCCATTACTATTGAGTTTTTTGCGAAAATACGCTGAATGGTCGAGATCGCGAAATACTATTATTAAAATTTAAGATGTCACCATTTAAAACCATAAAAGACAATGATCGTCTGGGATATTCATTCGCGTTTCCAAAGAGCGTACAGCCCTTAAAGCGATAAGCCAGCATGAGGTTATCTGTATATTTCTTTTTGCACTAGATACGCCACCCTCGCTCATCGTTCCGAATACTAGATACACCCAGAACGTAAAAATCCGCCCAGAATTGTTGTCACATCATACCAGTTGACTGTTACGCAATCTTCGACTTCCAATGTTGCATAGGCATTGTTCATGGATATAAAATGTGAGAAATGCTACTTTAACTTGACTTTGCGTATTTAGGTCATCAACAAAATGCCGCTTAAAAAGTTCATAAATTCAAATTCAAAGGACTTCCGGAGAGAGACGAAAAAAAAAGAATTTTCCCAATATCGTTTTAATTTTCTTCTTACTTTATTCGTAGCGGGATTTCAAAATTAATTGCGCATTAACATTGGCACTGTTTCTACTCTACAAGTAGGCATAATTATAATTCCAATATGACGTTTCGTCTGTTGTCCTCCAGCATCAACTTTTTTTTTCTTATGGACGCCACATTGGATTTTTGGGCAGATGAATAGAGTTTTTAATTTTTATTTCAAAAATTTATAATATGCGATACATTGGCATTGCCAACCCTTAGTTGTGCCAAAAAGACAACGTTTTCTAGGTAGACCTTGAAATTATCGGATATTTCATTTGTTTCGTATACCAGACCAGGCCTTAAATTAAACAGAGTTTGAAAGAGGGAGAAGAAGATAAATAACTTGAGGAGTGTACAATATACAGAGAAGAGTCAAGCTTTGCATACAAAATAACGGACATTATAAACAGCTGTTACAATTGACCTCTGCTTCTGTATGTTATTACGATCAATAAAATTTTAATGTTGTGTTCAGGTTTAACCATACCATTTTATCTCCTTGTCATCCAACAACAAACTCATGGCCAACTAAAAAAATACGTCACTGAACTTAGGACTGAAAGTTCCATTTAAATGTAAAAAATTTCAATGTAGCGCCCATATGAGAAAACAAAGTTAATGATGTAAGTCGAAAGAAAAAATTGACAGCATGCAATTTATTTTATAATCCCATCTCAAATAAAGCCAGGAAAGGATAAAGGTAATTTTGGGATAAATCTGGTATGTGAAACAAATGAATATTTGATAATTTCAAAGCCTACCTAGAAAAGTCTTCTTATTTTAAAATAACTAAGGTCTGGCACATTTTTGAAATCAGAATTAGAAGCCCTATTTATCTGTGCAAAAATCCAATATGTTGTCCTAAAGAAAAAATAAAGTTAATGCTGGAGGACAAGAGATAAAACGTCGTATTGAAATTATAATCATGCCATCTTGAAGAGGAAAAACGGATAATATTAATGTGCCAATTATATTGAAATCCCACTACAAATGAAGTCAGTCTTAAATTAAAACGATTTTCAGAAAAGGTTTCCGTCTCTTTTCGGAAGTACTTTGAATTTAGAAACTTTCTGAGCGGCATTTTGGTGACCTAAATATGCAGCTTTGCCCCCATTTAAGTGACTTCGCATCTCTTACAGTGTCCGAGATCGCAATGGTGAGGGTTGAATTTGAAACACCCTGTATTGCGTGGACTGTTTGTGGTCGGAGGTATATATTATACTTAATAGTTATCAAGAATTGAATCTCCAGATTTAAACTGCTGAGGCTAACCCGTAGTGGCATCCACAGTCATAAGATTCCATAACCGTGAAAGAATAGTCCTAGCATACCCCACAGAATCGCTTCTTAAATGTTTGGTCCAACAACTTTGTATAATGGTTTAAGTAAACGAAAATATCCTGAAACGTTCATACTGGAACCCTTCATTCACGGAAGTTTTATTAAACTAGGTGCCAACAGCGTATTGTGGGTGTAAGGTTGATTTCAGAACCCCGTCCCGCATTGATTCAAATGGCGACATTTCTGAGTCTACCAAAACGTTGTGACCTATTATATTCTGAATTTTGGATGCATATTTAACCAGGTGCGTGATACCTGCACATATTGGTTATTTATTATTCGATTCGATTGTGTTGTTTTAGATAGATGTCACAAATAAAATATAGGCAAGAGAGACATTTAGTACCAATTTAGTGGAATCCCTAAAGGTATATTACCATAATAGTCGCATAAAGACAAGGACACGGTACCAGACTTGAATCCGTAGGAAACTCGTCGGCGCGAGTTTATATAAGCGTTATTAAAAATAGAATCAAACTGATTAGGTTCAAACTTGAGAGTCTCGGTAGTTGCTTGTGTTTTGATAGTACCAGTCGCAGTAGATGCTGCGGTACAGGCGGTGTAAATACGACGTGATAGGGAGAATGTCAGGGAAAGAGAGGAATCATAGGTGCGTAATAACATTTCTTGGTTTTTATATTGATAAAAATTAGATAAACACTTTTCATTAGCAATATCAGATACTTGAATATATAAGGCTAGTATTACTAATAACATGACAAAAACAAATTCAATAAAACTTTCAAGATTTTGATCCTCACTGTTCCAGAGTAATCTTCATCGTGACATATAAATCCGAACACCCAGTTTAAATGGTTTTATTTTAATAAAAGTTGGTGAATGTATTTATCTTACTGTAAATCACAAGTGAAAAAATGTTCAGCCTTATCAGTTGGACATTCCGGTTTTTATACTGCTTTTTTTTAATTCACTAAAGCTCTAAAAATTAATATTTCAGCCGCAGTAAAGAATCCACGTTGGCGGATTTTGGTTCTTGACATCCTTTACGATCGGTTACGATGCCTAGAGTACGGAGACCTGTACGATTTCGTCAACTTAGTGAGTTTGATAGGGGCCGTATAGTGGGACTTCGGGAAGCTGGACTTTCTATTCGGGCAATTGCAGTTAGAGTGCAAAGAAGTGTAGACACTGTGGCTAGGTGTTGTCAGACATGGCTTCGAGAAGGCCGTACGCAAAGAGCAAGGGGCACTGGACGCCGCCGTAGAACAACAGACCGTGAAGATCGCCGCCTAAGATTATTGGCCTTAAGGGACCGTTTCTCCACTACCAGGTCCATTGCAAATGAATGGTTTGCAGAACACGGAAGACCTATTGGCATGCGAAGTGTTTACCGACGAATGAGGAGTTTTGGCTTGTTTTCATACCGGCCACACTGGGTCCTCCCTTTAACTCGAGAACACCGACGTAATCGCCTTGAGTGGTGCAGACAATGGTCATTCTGGGATCAGGAATGGAACAGTATTGTCTTTAGTGACGAGTCTCGATTTTGTTTAGGCATGCACTATGGTCGTGCCAGGGTTAGAAGGCGACGTGGTGAAAGGAGGAATCCACAGTTCTTTGTTGAAAGACATGTTCATCACACTGTTGGAGTTATGGCTTGGGGTGCTATAGCTTATGGTTCCAGGTCACCTTTAATCTTCATCAGAGATAACATGAACGCGCAGCGTTATATCCACGAAGTTCTAGAACCCCATCTTTTACCCTATCTTGACACCCTGGCAGATCCAACTTTCCAACAAGATAATGCCCGACCATATGTTGCAAGAGTCACAATAGACTTCTTTCAACATAATGATGTCACATTGTTACCATGGCCACCAAGATCTCCCGACTTATCCCCAATTGAGCACGTGTGGGATATGATGGGTAGGAGATTGCTCAATTTGCAACGTCCTCCTCAGACTCTAGAAGCACTTCGAGAGGAGTTGGTGGTTGCCTGGAATGAGATACCACAGGAGGACATTGACCACCTGATCAGAAGCATGCCTAGGCGCGTTGGAGAATACGTAGCACATCAGGGTGCATCCACACATTATTAAAGGTCAAAGGGCTTTAAAGCAGTGCAATCATTTTGAAATTTTTATCATTTACTTATTATGCTTCATTAAGTACTTATACAAAATTTTATTAAAATAAAACCATTTAAACTGGGTGTTCGGATTTATATGTCACTTAGTATATAAACGGTACAATAAACAGTTGAGATCCAGGTTTGACCTGTATTGGAAGATTGAAATGTTAAGCAGCCACAAAAAGCAGCTTCCCAGCAATGATCGATGCCATTCATTCTGTAAACGCGCATGCATTATCAAATTCAAACTCTTAGCTCTCTCAGAACTGCTACAATCAGTTCAGAACCAGTTCGGAATCGGTTCGGAACCTGTTGGAACAGCGAAATGCCAGTTATGGAATCAGTTCCAGCTTGTGTGGTAATTTTGATCTACACATGCTATACATACATACTATAACATAGATTAATGCAGAATCTGTCCAATGATTTATTGGAACGAAGCTAATATTGACACATTTTCAACAAATATATCATTTCTCACATTTTAGCAACTATAGACACCTATTTCCACAAAATCTGTAATATAAACAAAAACACCGGTAGCATTACTTATAAACGCTTTCAAAATTGACTGTTTTAATGCAACACCCAGCTTTCTTTGTAGATTTAAAAATTTAGTCGGTAAAACCGTTAGTTTTTGGCAATTGTTCTCCGCTGTGAACCAAGTGTCTTTACGCTAGCTATTATCTTGAACAATGTACAGATATGGTTTAGATTATTTAATTTAATTATGGAAGTAATAAATAATGTAATCTAATGAACATTAAATGTTAGATTTAATAGCATATTAGTTTAATGTACTTAAATTGTTTCCGTATTCGTCACTATTTTTTGAATGATTTTCAGCAAAAGATCAAGTTCAAGACATCGCTGTACGTGTACTGTTATTTAGAAAACATAAAATTTCCACAACGATGTGTGTCAAATTTTATACAGAACTGAAGTGAAGATAATGTGATAGTATATGTTAAGGGGTATCGATAGTAAAAATTAGCCTTTCAGAGCATTGCCTTATGTAGGACGTGTACATAAGGCATGCCAAGTTTAGAAATCATAGTTATTTTACTTTTGCCCTTCAGCTAGTCGGTTTCGACAATTTTCCTAGCTGGGTAATACCTACACTCCGTTAGGTTTGTCATTGACATGTTCGACAGTGAAGGATTATGATTACCGTTTCATCAATATTGACCTAATACAATTCTCACACTTTTTTCAGGTCTAGGTCTCCTGGGGGCAGGAGCGATCAGTGCAGGTGCTCTAGGCCTTGGTGCGTTGGGAGCTGGAGCATTGGGAGCCGGAGCTCTAGGAGCTGGTGCTCTGGGAGCTGGAGTTATCGGAGCGAAGGCCTTGGGAGGAGGGCTAGCCCTTGGATACGCTGCTGGGCACCGTCATGGCTACTACCACGACTAGTGAGTGTCTAAATTAACCAGCTAGCATTTTAGAGAATAGTTGATTAATAATAATAGGCTGACCTTCAAATTTTGTAACGGATACATACATACGTAGCTTTGTTCGTCAATGGGTAGCCCCACCTGTCTAGACCCTTAGATGTTACTACCAGGCACCACCAAAGCCATTTTTTCATCATGTGTGATTTGGATTACTAACACATTGTCACTGGAATCCGCTAAATAGACCAGCAGGTAGAAGTTCACATTTGAAACAATGCAAAAAGGTAGACTCATCTTACAAAGAAATAACTGTAGCTTCACCAACTGTTTTCGTTTTACTTCAGTTGTTTCACAGGGGTTATTGATCAAACAAAAATAATAAGTATGGGGTATAGTAATTATAAATTAGGTAAAAACAAGTAAAAGTGAGTCGGGCAGAACTTTAGCAATACTGCATTTTTTCCTAGCAAAAATACAATAAACCTCCATCCTAATAACAATATTTGATTTAAAAAAAATCCTTGAACCACAGTATACCATATATGCATCCTGACGAAGACCTCTTGGGAATTCCAATTCGTCGAGTGTCTGAAAACGACAAGACCTATCCCTTCATAATCAAAAGTGTATTAGAGAAACATCGAACAGGTTGTCCAACACTCTGCCCGCGAGAGTTTTTGACTTAACTGGAGTATCTGGCGACCAACCCATCATTAAAAGTGTACCGATTATTTTTTGTAAGACTTGTAGTATGTTTGTTGTTATTCACTACTGACTGTCGCGTATTTTTTATTAACCAACATCAAATCGCCTTTATTGTTGTTAAATCAAATATAGTAAGCTTCATATTTATTATTAGGGCTTGTCTTATTACTCGTGTAACGAATACAAAGTTAAATTTGAACAAAACGGTACCGAATGTTGTTGGAACTATAATTATTCTCTCCAGTTTATATCTCCTAGAACTTAACGTGAGTATTTATTTTCTTTCAGCTATCCATCCCACAATCATTACTACGTTAACCACTATCATGGCCATTACGATGACTGGTGAGTATTTCTTCTTAGTCCAGTTTGTACAAAAGCACAAGTGTTACTTGAAAGGGCTGATACAGTCAGGTCATCCCTACGTCTTACTTAGTTATAGAGATTCATTTTTATAATATGCTAGTTTATGAAATTGAACATATTTAATATAGTATCGAGTTTGAAATATTACATATCAAAAAGAGGTATTTGATGAAGCATTTTTTTTAATCCTGTTCAAATACTGACCAATTTTTATATGAAGCAACATTCTCTATTTTTATATCACTCTCCAGATGCCTCTCATTACTGATACCACTTTTTCAGTTGTTTTATTTATAATGAATATTTTTTCCAGTTACGACTGTTGGTGAGTGCCTGTGACCTATGGTGTGCATTGTACCATATACATATGTCACCTTCCACTGTTATTTATACATTGTTTTACACTTAGGAACAACCTGTTTTAAAAATAAACCATTTTCACCAAGACAATGAGTTTCAATATATCTGAACAGACTATTGCATCCAAGCCAGATTACCTCATACGATCTATCCCACCAGAGCCTAGGTTCCTGAAGTGTGAGCTTTTCCTTTCTAAGAAAGTTTTCTCACAATGAGCGGTATTGACCATAATGCAAGGAGACATATGTCATACCTAATCATTAGGTAAGATGCTGTCATTACTACCTCCTTAGACACTGATGGAAAAAATAGGATCAAATAAGAGTTGTACATTTTTTGTGATGCATCTCAGTTGAAAATTGTCGTATTAAGGCTCTAAGAAAACCATCTTGAAGCTTTGATGTCTAGATTTTTGGACCCTACAGTCTGGGAATTTCTAAAACTGCAGGTTCTACATTATCCTAGAAAATGTGTGAAGACATAGTATGAAATCTTTTTATATCCTTATTTTGGTCCATGGACTTGGAAAAATGATTTTTTGATAAGCCAGTGCTCAATAGCCTGTTTATTTAGCTTCAATTTGGATTTTTCAAATCCTTAATATGACTATTATTTGTTGAGATAAAATTTCTGGCGAAAAAGGACCCTTTTGACTTTGATCATCGCTATTTCAGGAGGATGATTTCCGAAGTTGGAATGGATTCTCTAGGAATATCAAAGATGATGGGGAATTTTTCCGAAATGTTTCCTGTTCAAAACAAAAATACGTCTGGATAGATCAAAGTGAAATTTTACAAGGCCAACTTCTAACTGCCATTTATCACGTCAAAGTTATTCCAACCATTCTTTACTTTGCGGTTGCTACTTTATTCCCTTATTTTTAAACGAATAGAGAATTGAAGAAAATGGAGCGATCCCGTAATTCGCATATATTACATGCGTCTGCAGCAGCAGCGATCCGCGTTGCAGCTGCACATCTCATGCGGAAACGAAGTAAACGAAACTGTAAAATAATTTGGTGTCGAAAATGGATCAGGGAGAGGGACCAGGGCAGGTGTGTGCTCCATATGCTGGAAAAAGAGCTTCTAGTGCAGGATCTACTGGCTTATAAGCCTAAGTGGTGATTTTATCCATCGCAGCTTATTTGGCTTCTCTGTTTTTATAGGTCTTGCTTTTTACAGCATACATGTATAAACAATCATGTTTCTCATACTCGTTTAGTAATATGTTTCACTGCTCTTTTGATCATGACATCTTTTAAGTTCTCAATCTATAAGTAGAACAGCATACGCAGGGGAGTTTCGTGCAACTGATGAACAGAACTATAACTGATAGCACCAACTAATGAAAGTGTTTGATTTTATATCAGCCAGTGTACTACTCCAAATGCGCAGTACCTAGTCGTCGGCGCACCTTTCTACAAAATTTAACACTAAATTTGTTCATACAAAATTATTTACTAAATTCTGTCTGATACTATCCTTAATACGAGGGATGTCTTTTAAGTTTTGCATATGGAAATAAAACAATACGGTAGGTAGTTTTAAATGACATTATTGTTTTTCGAAGTATTCTCCACGAAGATTAATACACATCTGCATGCGCCCGAACCAATTTTCGAAGCACTTATTCCACTCGTTTGCTGGCAGATCCAAAACGGCATTTTTGAATACGTCAACTGCTTCTTCTGGTGACTGAAACCTTTGACCACGCAGTCAGTTTTTAATTTTCGGAAAAGTGAAGAAATCGTTAGGACTTAGATCGGGATTATATGGAGGATGGTCCAATAATTCCACGTTTTCTTCCGCTAAATATTGCCTTGTTTTTTGGGCTGTGTGCGAGCTTGCATTGTCTTGGTGGAGTATGATTCTTCTTTCGGGGTTGATTTTTTGAAGCTTGGTGATGACCTTTGGCAAACAAATGGTAGTATACCAATCTGCAGTAACTGTTCTTTGCTCATTAAGAGGAATTGTTGCAATATGAACCGCATTTGACACAATTGTCGCGACCATCTTTTTCGAAACACTTGGACAACGGATGACTTTTGTTGGCTTTTCTTCACCTTGGAACACCCAAATAGCCGACTCTCGTTTATTTTCTGGTTCATAGCAGTAAATCCACGATTCATTACCACTAACAATGCTGTACACATTTTTTGAGTTTCCGGAATTGAAACGGTCAAGCGTTTTTTGACACCAATTAACCCTGGCTGCTTTCTGCTCTTCAGTCAACAGTTGAGGTATCCAACGAGAAACTAATTTTTTTACATCTGATTCCTGATATAAATTTTTTTTAATTGAGGTCTTTGAGATCTTCAAGGACGCCTCAATCTCGCGATATGTCAATGATGAGTTTGCGCACAGCATCGACGTTTTCCTGGGTGACTGCCTTTTTTGGTGCACCCACCCTGGTATCGTCGCTAAGACTCACCCGTCCACGTTTGAATTCTCCATACCAACGAGAAATTGTCGACTGATGCGGCGCTTCGTTGCTGAAAACAGACAGTAACTCAGCAAGGCATTCTTGTTGAGATAATTGTCTCTGAAAGTTGTAATAAATTATGGCCCAAAAATGTTCTCGGTTGAGTTCCATTTTTCTAATGACTTGGTGACACTTAAAAATTCACTGTAGTGAGAACAATGCACGTATTGTTCTGAAACTTTGAATTTAAGTTCACTAAAGAGTGAGGTTAAGATTTAGTACTGACGTTCGATCTGCGCGGCCTACTATGTTTCTATATGCAAAACTTAAAAGACATCCCTCGTATGGTACGAAATTTAGCACAAAATTTCGTATCGTGACAGACGGCCTTTAGCCACTTTAGCAATGTTTGTAATCTAGAGGGTTTTCCAAAAAAAACAACCTACTCGAGCTTAGCGCTTTTTCCAGCTTACCTGAAGAATGGAAGCTTTTTCAGGAACGACCAGAGATCCTTCTAGAGAATCCTTTCCCGCTTCTGAAATCATTGTTACTTTTTCTGTACGATTCTTGGATCGTGAGATACTGATGATCAAAGCCAAGAGTGTTTTCTTTCTTCAAAAATTCGATATCTCAGCCGGAAATGGTCGTATCGCGCTTTTGGAAAAGGAAAACTGAATCTTAAGAAGTATGCTATTGAGTGCAATTTAGGAAAATTCAAAATCGTTTAAAGACATCCTCGGGAACAGATATCAGGATATGGCCAAACTCTATAAGAACAGCTAACTAACATCCTGCTTCATACCTACTATTAGACCTGGCCGTTAACTTCTGGTGAATTGAATAAGAAAACGATCAATGAAACTAAAACCAAAGATATGGTATAGCCTCAACTGGCACCCACAGAGGCAGCTTCGGGTATCATGTGAGCCTCCGGCGCGCGCCGCCCAGCTTGCAGGAGCTTTCGCGTTAGAGCCGCTCAGGCCGGCAGTCCATGGCCTACGTTGAGCCGCGTGTGAACGGTCGCGAGCGTCACGCCGCTGCTCTATTTCGACGTTCACGTCTATGGCGTTTTGGATCCGCGAAGTGTCAACCGCCGCCGGTTACTGATGAGATGTGAACCGCTGCAGCCGTTTGTGATTCAGATTGTTGAGACTCGATGGTGATGTGTGATTGTGATTGTTGATTCTAGTTGATTGGAACAACATGAGTTTGACAATGAGGACGAAGGTGGTTCTTTTGTTTTGCATCTGCAGCATCTGGATGCCGGGTGGTGTTTTCGGGAGCCCTTCGCCGATCAAAAGAAGTAAGTTTTTTTGGTCTAGCTGTCCGATTTCCAAATATACTGACATGGAGCTCTAGCTTCATGTGAAAATTCCCTTCAAAGGTATCAAGATCTGTATTTGTAAAACATTGTATCGAACTTCCAGTAATAATTTCATACTAACATACCTAGGTACACAACCTCAAATACCCGTTTTGTTCAATTATTTGGCAGCATTTTTTTTCGAAATTTTTCGGCAGCTGATGAATAATGGTAATAATAAGCTTAATTCTCTTCATATATGGGTGAGCATGCATCGGTTTCAATAAATAAATATGTACAAAATAAATAAATAACAGCCATTTCAAAATGAGTGGAAAAACAATATTTTAAAGCCAACGAAGTCGCTAATTGCATAAAAACAGCCATTGGTAGAGTAGATGTTAACCTCATATTTGAATCGGCTCATTGAAGTGATCCTTTTTATGAAGTCAAGCAGGGTGTTTCATGGTGATATTCCGCCTAACTTGTAACGTGCAAATGGTATATGGATGTCATTCTGTCTGTGAGAGCTAACTTGATCTATTTGATTGTTTTTAGTGAAATACTCTTTGTTTAACAAAGTATAGGTACCCATTTTGTACAGAAAAGGAGAAGGCAGTGTGATTATTTTTCACCTCTTGAATAATTATCTGCAACTATGAGTGCTGCTTACTCCCACTATACACCTTATAAGCCGTTTCTAGCTTAGGAACACCTTAGAAGCATTTACCGATGAGCCCCAGAAGCACAAAGAATATAGCATAGATGTACATGGCTCAAACTGACCATGAGATGTGAACCGCTGCAGCTGTTTGTAATTCAGATTGTAGAGATTTGATGATCATGTGTGGTTGTGGTTGATTGGAACGACATGGGTTCAAAAATAAAGACCACGGTAGTTCTTTTGTTTTTCGTCTGCAGCATTTGGATGCCGGGCGGTGCTTTTGGGAGCCCTTCACAAATCAAAAGAACTAAGTAGGTATTTTTGGTCCACCTGTCCGATTTGAAAATGTACTGACATATGGCTCAAACTTCAAGTGAAAATTGACTTCAAAGGTATCAAGATCTGTTTTTTGCTATTCTGAGACTGACAATTGTATGAAACTTCCAATAATAATTTCATACCGACGTAACAGGGTCAACAGCGTCAATAGTTAGTTATTCTTTCGGACGTTATTTATTTGGAACTTCCGAAATTCATTTTAGAGCTAATGAGATCTGAACCGCTGCTGCCGTTTGCGATTCAGGTTGTTGAGATTTGATGCTGATGGGTGATTGTGGTTGTTGATACTGGTTCATTGGAACAAGATGAATTTGACAATTACGATGATGGTTCTTTTGTTTTGCAACTGCAGTATCTGGATGCCGA